CAAGCGTAAGGAAGGGCCGAAGGGATGACGGGATGAAACGATGGCTCGCGAAAGTCTGGACAATGATGGCCTGCGAGACGTGCTTGCGCATTTAATGCGCCGATTGACCTACGCATTTAAAGCACCAACTGTCAATCACTTCAGGGGGAATGCAAAGGGTCCATCCCTTGGAATCTTTTCGACCTCTGCCCAGGCCACGACCGAACAATCCAGGGATGTGGGGGCAATGTTTGTGCCTAATAAATCACAGTCATGAACTGATTGAAGAGACTTCCCTTCGGCCCTGGCGCCTACCGTTTCGTCAAGCATTTCGCCCTCCTAAGAGCAAAAGAAAGGCTGCAAAGGCAGAATCCTCTCGGCCTCGCGACCGTAGTTTTGAAGGCCGAGGCTGAAGGCTGTAAAAGACACGGTCTGAAAAAGCTGTGGTTGAATCGCCACGTGGCCTCAGGGCCCCATGCTCCATTTAATGAAGTAATGCCTCTGACTTCGCATCAAAACCCACTACTCACAAGAAGCATTCAATGCATGAAGGAAGTGACTGAAGTCAGGATTTGGTGATGGGAATCAGGTTTGTTAGGCGCAGACATTGTCACAAGTAATCTTACGACTTAGGGTTAGATCACCAACCACCAGACCAGGGCATTAAATGCGTTCCCACGGCCAAGGGGGCAGAACCCACGATTAGGGCGGTGGCTGAGATTTGCCGAGATTTATGTTGGTCACACCACCATGCTTCTCAACCCTAAACCACCATGCTTCACGATCCCAAACGACGATTTGACTGCCCACTTGCCCCGGTCAGGCTCCACCAAACGACGATTTATGTTGGTCACACCACCATGCTTCTCAACACCAAAACCAAAAGCCTCCCATGGAGCAAATTATATTTTCCTGTAATGCACTTTCAATACCTTTATTTGCTTTCTTAGGAGTAGTGGCAGACTGTAAGGAAAATCCATTCCTCAATATATCATATGACCCTTGATTTTCAAGGCGTCGGAGCACCATCTCTGTTATCGCCTCACTCACCCCATATATGATACGACCGTCGCTCTATGAGCAACGCGCCGGAGCATCGCCTAAAACCCACCACCAACACCACTACTAAACGGCCTTGTAGCTCAGGCCGTGAACCTGATGGCTGAGATTCGTTCCTCACTCGGCCATGATCATTTGATTAGGAGTCGAACACAAAACAAGCGCAACATTTAAACCATCTTCTACCCGAACCTCATCATCGTCTCGACGCACGGTAGACCGTGCTGGCACGCCCGTGCACAACTGCACCGCATCTAAAAAAAGGACGTCACGTGTTAACGAACATCCCCTAAGCCCGGAGCACCAGGCCGCGAGATTCGAGACAGACCAACAAGTCCTTGTGGAGAACGACCTTCCTTGGGCATCTATACTACAATAGCCTTGTATTCTTGCAAGTATTTTACTTGAGTTTAACCCTGTTTGCACAGGTACTAAAAATCCTATCAAGAAATTGGCGCCGCTGCCGGGGACTATTTTGGTTAATTTTTGTTAAAACTTTTTTTGCTTTATTTTTATTTTTGTTAAAAAAAAAAATTGAAATTTTGAACATTTTCGTTTATGTTTCAGATTCTGCAGACTTTATGGTCCATACCAGATCAGGAACTGCACAGATTGCACAATTTGATCTAGAACCAGAGCACACCCTGCGCAAACAGCGAAGAGAAATTAATTGGGACGGGGACTGTTCACTGCGGGGCACTTTTCCAGATTGCATAGTTTGATCCATAACCAGAATGCACACTGCACAGACAGTGACGAGAAATTAATTGGCTGCCCGTGCCAATGATGTCCCTAATTACATTGTGTATCCTGAACAAGAAGAGGGTGAGTCGTTCGAGATCGAGCACCATATGCTTGAAATTCTACCTACTTTTCATGGGCTACTTAATGAAGATGCGAACATACATATTGAAAAATTTATTGTGGGTTGCAAAAATATTTTGATTAGGGGTTTTTCTGCTGAAGCTATTAAGTTACATTTTTTATCTTTCACTTTGAAGGACAAGACGGAAACTTGGTTGTTCACTCTATCGGCAAATAGCATTGCTACTTGGCAACAATTACATACAAAATTCTTGAACAAGTATTATTCATCATCCAAGACATTGAATTACAAGCAGGGAAATCATGACATTCACTCAAAAGCCTAATGAAGAGTTTCATGAAGCATGGTAAAGATATACAGAGATGCACATTAAGTGTCCACATGCTAATATTGATTCAGATACACAAATGAATATTTTCTTTGACGGGCTTAATCCGATATGTAAGAGCCATGTTAATACCTTAACTGGAGGATCGTTGTCAAATAAATCTGCAAGAGAGACGTTTGAACTATTTGATATGATGGCTACAGAATCTCAACAATGGGCAGCAGAACATTCACAGAAAATGGCCATTTTTTAGTTATCAGCAGGTTCCCCTAACATGTTTGCACAAATGGAAAAAAATGGAGAAGAAAATTGATGCAAAGTTTGATATTATTCTACAACAAATTGCAAATTTTACACAACATCAACCACATACACCAACAGTTTGCAGTATTTGCAGTATGGCTATACACGATATCATGGGTTGCCCGTATAAAGAATCCTACCCAGAGCTTGTTGAACAACATGTCAATATGTTGAACAGCTATCAAAGGCCTAGGAATGATGCATATGCAACTCATTACAATCTTGGATGGAGGGATCACCCTAATTTCAAATGGGGTGACAATAAAAAAAATGCAAAACCATTCCAGCGTGCACAAAAACCATTTGTTCCCTCCAAACCATCTTTGGATGATCAACTTGCTAAATTGGCAGCAACAACTCAATCATTCATAGATGGAAACAATAAAAGATTTCAAAATGTTGAAGCATCAATTAAAAGTTTGGAGCAACAATTTGGAGCAATAAATGATGAATAGCTAGCTGCACATATTTCAGACAGAGAAAAAGACAAATTTCCTAGTCAAACAGTGCCTAATCCAAAAGGACATGAAGATTGCAACGTTGTTCGGACTTTACAGTGTGGAAAAAGTTATGATAACAGTACAAATAACACTGAAAAGGATCAGCCAACAGTGACAATTTATGTAGAAAATACTGAACCTGCAGATTCTGTAGAAAAACAAAATCTGTCCGGCACAGAAACTGTCCCAAAACAAGTTAAACTGCCACCTAAGAAAAAAGATCCAGGGTGTCTCTATCGTTTTCTGTAGCAATATCGCTTTCTGTAGCAGTACGTTGGTTAGTTCGGAAGAAACCCTCCTGTGAAAGGTGGCGGCTTCTGATCTTTTGATGGCTTTGTAAGAGCTTTGCAACTGATGGGATGTTTCAGCTTTGCCATCTCTGCTATTGCAATTTCTCCTTCCTCCGAGCCCTGTGCTTCTTATTCTTATTCTACCTGAACTAGGTGTATTGAAGAAGAAGGGGATTTG